TCTCCTACCTTTGAGTATGAAGAAAAAGCCAACACCTCTTCAACCCTTGAAGAAGAAGCTAATGTTTCTACTACCTTTGAGTATGAAGAAAAGGCTAACACGTCCTCAGCTCGAGTCTTTGAACAAGCTAATGTTCCTCCTTCCTTTGAGTATGAAGAAAAGGCTAACACGTCCTCAGCTCGAGTCTTTGAACAAGCTAATGTTGCTCCGTCCTTTGAGTATGAAGAAAAGGCTAACATGTCCTCAGCTCGAGTCTTTGAACAAGCTAATGTTGCTCCTTCCTTTGAGTATGAAGAAAAGGCTAACACTTCTTCAACCCATGTCTATGAACAAGCTAATGTTAGCACAGCTCTTTTTACTGAGAAAGAAGCTGATGTTTCCTCAACCCTAGAAGAAGATAGTGATTTTTCCCAAACTGTTGTGCTTGATGAAGACGAAGCCAACATTATCCCAATCCGTGTCTTTGAAGAAGAGGCTACTGTTGCCCCGACCCTCGAAGATGAAACGAATGTTTCCCCGACATCTCAAGAGAAAACTGATGCCTCTGAGGACTTCGCCATCTTTCCTTCCAGTTCTCAAACATCCAAGTGGGATCTGTTGACCAGCACAACTCAACCCCAAGAATCTCGCAATGAGTACAGCCAAAAAACCTCCACAGCAGCTTCAAGTTCTTCTCGAGGTACAAAGCCCACAAAGACGACCACTGTCGCCACCACAACCACAACCGCAGCTACCACCACCACCACCACCACACACCGGTCCAGACACACCTGGAGCCCAACCACCACCACCCCCAAAATGTTGATACCACCAGTGGGTCACGCTCTGGAAGATGTTGACATTACTTTCACCCAGCCGCCAACTCTGCTTATCATGCCCAATGAGAGGGCAGCCGTAGGCGGTACTGGGAAATCATCAGGTAATGTTAATGCCACTTTCATCAGTCTAACCGTCCTCTTCCTGCTCGACACAGTGATGCACTAAAACTCCTCATCTGTCCTCTGCCCAACCTGCCTCTGCTCCATTTTCTGTAAAACACCCGTCCTGCTTTTCAAATGACTTCCCACGTTTTTTTCACCTGTTGTCTCAGCAAGCCCACTCACCCTTCTGACTCTTCCCACTTCCCCTTAAACACTCCTTACTCCTCTCCTTGTGACTCCCCCGCTCTACCCTCCAAGATTCTCACACTGGGACAGCTCCCATTTGACATTTGTCCACAGTCCAGTCTTGTTATGCATGATGTTTTTTCCTCATCCAAAGAATGACTTCTGTGAAGTACTGTATTTACTAGTGTTTTTGAATGACGGGTTTCTTCTCCAGTGAGGACCTGCCAGAGTGATGGTTATAGCTAAATTCATCAGATTTTATTTGTAAATCATCCATCTCTGGACCAAACAGGTGCAAAAGATATTATAAAATCATTTTCTTCTTGCTATCTTTCAATTTTCATAGTATCTTTTCCATTAATTGGGAAGAAACATAATAAGGGACTTAATCGTTCTCTGGAAAGTAACAATTACTTTGAATGTAACAGCACTGACCAATGAAGCTGCAGTAATGCTTTATATTTAAGTCTTAACAGATTTTCTTTCTTCCTTTTCATTGCTGTTTTAGTCACTGTGGTACAAAAAGCACAGATTATTATGTTTACAAGCACAAAACCTTTTCATTGTAGATTGCACAAGTGTTTGCATTTAGCAACATGTTCACGTGTCCTTTTGTCATTAATGTTTCATACTCGACTTAAAAATTGTTGTTTAATCACAGTTGTTCTAGATTTGTATTGTGTTTTTAGGTCTAATAATGATAAAGGCAACAAATCTTTATTGGTTTCTTGTCTTACCACAAGTTGATAAATGCATTACTTTATATTCCTTCCCTTTGGTACATTCATTTTTTCGACTTCATGTGGCAGCTGTGGATATTGATGCATTGTATGGAAGCTTATTTGTTCCACAAAACAAACAAACAAACATAAAACACAGTTCTCATGGTTTTAAATTCATCTTTTAAATTAAATATTTTTGAATTTTAATTCTCTTATTTAAAACTGCACTTTATTTTTCCATTGGAGCACTTGGCTTCCATATAATCGGGTTTATTGAATCTTCAAAAGAAGCAGCTGCCATTGTGGACTCAACTTCAAGAAATATGGGAAATTTAGGATGGAAACTTATTTAAGAGAAAAGCTGCTTTTAAGCTCTTAACATCCACCAGGTCACCAACAAACCATTTAAGGCTTGACTTGCATTTCATCAAGCACAGTTTCAGAAACTGGAAAAAGTCGACCTCAGAGTTCTTCTATTAAGATTTCCATGTGGGTATGTCAATAAAGGCCACTGACAACCTGGTGTATGTTAATATTGTAAGTCAAACACTATTCAGAATAATTCAGCTTTTGAAAAAAAAACTAAGATATCGTGTGGATCTTGAGAAACAAAATATTTACACTAAAAATCTTTACTGAATGTAGAATTCGAGGTAAACGAAATTGAGAACTGTAGATTCGAAATCACAGCAAAAAAAACGTTAAAAAAAATCAAAATCACAGTCGGATCCAACTTGTCTCATGATGTAGCAGTAATGTTTATTGCCCCATGTGCACTCCTGACAATGTGACAATGTCTGGTCATGCTCCTGACTCGATGGCAGGTGGTGTTGTGGGGGATCTACTCCCAGACCTGAATCTCAGAGGCTCTCAATAAGATTCAGGTCTGGGGAATGTGTGGGTAAATCAATGGCATCAACGCATTGGTTCCCCAATAACTGCCTATACACACCGGCCACCCACTCTCAAAGCATAATGCGTAATGTTTGTCACAGCTTTTCCAGACTCTTTCGCCTCTGTCACAGAAGCTCAGTGTGAACCTGCTCTTTTTTGTGAGGTGAAAACGGCTACAGTGGTGGACCTGCCAGTACTGGTGTTCTCTGGTGAATGCCAATTGAGTTGTACGATGCTGAGCTGTGAGCACAAGTCCCAGTAAAAGATGCTGTACTGTCATGCCACCCTCATGGAGTCTGGAATTACCAGATTTTTTTTTTACCTGATTTTTGTTTCTGAGAAAAATGAGATCCACATATGAGGACATTCATTTTAAATTTCGATAGCGCAGTGGAAGTATAATGTCCTCGTAAGTGGATATTAGGCCCTTGTAGAGCAAAATTTTGTATTTTGGTTTAGACAGCCCAAAATGTGATGTCCACATACAACACATGTGGATGCCAGGTCCTAGGAGGTTAAGTAAAGTTTATATATTTTAAGTAAGTAAGTAAGCTTTTCATGGTTTTACTCCACAAATGGACTCATAAAGATGAAAAATATGGAAAACATGTGCATTCGCCAAGCTGCACTTCTATTACAAGACAATTTTCAAGCATCCAAACTGTTTGCCTTCCCCCCAAAAACCTCAGTATTACATAGATTAGTGCATGCAGAAGCCTTTCCTATTTCTCATACATAATTTCAGCTTCAGCACCATAATTAAGCCTTTTTTGGGGTGAATAATGATCTTTATACAATGGACTCTTCGTGGTGATAAAATACTGCAGTCAGCAGCCTAAAGAGGAAAGGAGGCAGAGAAACACAATGAGAAAGTCATCAATCATTCAGTAATTGAAATTACTAGCCTTGCATTGTCGTCTGCAGACAAGTTATTGTTGTGTTGTTTGACAAAAGGGAAGGAAATCGGCTCACAGATGGAGCTGTGAATCTAAACTCTGTTTCTGTTGAAAAGCAAACAAAAACAAGTCTCAGATGTGAACACCGTCACAGTATAAAGTTTCATTTTTTGATAGGTAAGACTTGAAAGGCACCTCAGTGGTTTTCCATCCACCATCTGTGTATTCTTCATCAAAACTGAATGATGGTTTTACTTTGAGTGCACGTGAATCTCATTTGATTCGTGTAAAGCAGTTATTACCTTTCATACACACGATCTGAGCAATGAAAGAGATTTCTGAAGAGAGCAATATGTGAGTGTGGGGATAATGACAGGCAGCACATAGTTCTTGTTTACAGGGTGTCAAAGGAAGCAAACAAACCGAATCCACTTGTAAAATGTTTAATTCCAGCTTGAACACTCATGGTTTCGTTTTTCCTTTGTTTTACAAATTTAGAAAAGCAAAATGAAGCTTCAGATGTGTTTTTCTCTTTAGATATCATCTGATTGTGATAAATATAACAAGATGCCAGTAGACATTCCCCAACCCCCCTGCAGACCCAGAACTAGATAAGCAGTTAGGAAAATGGATAAATATACAGTACACACGAAGTATTCACAGTGCTTCACTTGTTCCACGTTTTGTCCTGTTACAGCATTATTCCAAAACCCACTAAATTCCTTTTTTGACATTGAAATTCTACATACAATACCCCATAATGACAAAGTGAAAAAAGTTTGCTTGAAATTTTTGCAAACTTATTAAAAATCAAAAATCAAAAATATAACATGTACATAAGTACTCACAGCCTTTGCTTACGACTTTTTTGAAGAACCTTTAGTAGCACTTAAAGCCTCTTTTTGACTATGATGCTACAAACTGGGCACACCTGTTTTTGGACAGTTTTTTCTTTGCAGAACTTCTGGAGCTCCATCGGGCTGGATGGGGAGCATCGGTCCGCAGTCATTTTCAGATCTTGGGTTGAAGACTGGGCTCTGGCTGAACTAATTAAGAACATTCACAGAGTGGTCCCGAAGGCACTCCTTTGTTTCTTGAGTTAGTGCCGAGGGTATTTGTCCTGATAGAAGATGTCCAAGGTCCACAGTACTCTGGAGCAGGTTATCAACAAGGATGTCTCTGTACATTGCAGTATCCTTATTTCCCTTGACCCTGACTACTCTCCCAGTTCCTGCTGCTGAAAAACATCCCAGCATGATGCTACCACCACCATGCTTCACTCTACAGATGTTATTGTCCATGTGATGAATTCTGTTTGGTTTCTTCCAGACATGGCACTTCATGTTCAGGTTAAAAAGTTTAGTTGCCTTTTAGCAAACTCCAAGTACGCCCTCATGTGCCTCCTACTGAGCAGTGGTTTCAGTCTGGCCGCTCTACCATACAGGCCTGACTGGTGGAGTGCTGCACAAATGGTTGTCCTCACAGGGTAATGCTGTTACTCTGTCAATGTGAACAGAGTGGATTCTTGGTCACCTCAATGATTAAGGCCTGTCTACCCCAATCGCTCAGATTGGCCAGGAGGCTAATTCTGAGTCCTGGTGGTTCCAAATTTCTCCCATTTACGGTTGATGGAGGCCACTGTGCTCATTGGTACAATCCTGATACAATCCTGTCTTGGCGCTCTACAGACAGTTCTTTGGACTTCATGGCTTGGTTTGTGCTCTGGCATGCGCTGTTAGCTAAGAGACCTTATAAAGACAGTTGTGTCTTTCTAAATTGTTTCCAGTCAACTTAATGCACCACAAGTGGACTCCAACTAAGTTGTAAAAATGTCTGACTTTGATGAACAGTGGAAACAGTATGTAACGTAGCTAAATTTTCAGTGTCAATGCAAAGGCTGTGAATACTTTTATGTTGTTGCAGACATGTGATGCAAACAGGGAATTTGCAGAGTGCCTTCTGGTGGACGAACTATGCAATGTCAACATTTAGCACGGCTGAAGGGTGTTTCTTTAGTTTTTTCATCTTTTTAAAATTTTCACTTATAAATGTACACAATTCAACATTTTAATGAAAAGCAGCAGCAGGTCAGAAGGTGGTCAGTTGAATATTACTGTCCAATGACTTTAAAAGGGGCATGTTAGTGGGTTTTTCTCATCTCATTATCTCATCTTTTGATTAAAATGGTAAACAAAGCAAACAAAAGAGTTCATTGTACCACTGGCACACCAGCAAATCAGTGCATACCGCTTAATAAAATGACCAGTGGGCCCTTTTTTTTAATTGTTAGAACCACAGGGCTCCATATTATAGGAAACAACCCCCCCCCCCCCCCCCCCCAACATTAATACATCCATGTCTAGATTCCCTCTTCCACAAGATTTTTGAGAGCGTTTATTACTAATGAAGAAATGAAGAAGAAAGAGAAGGAAGCATGCCAGAAGAAGATTTGACGATTTTTCCCTCTCAGGCCACGCTGTAAAGGTTCTCCTCTGCTGCCATCTGTTGGCTAACATCGACCCTGATGCCCTTTAGTTTCTAAATGGTTCCTGCTACATTTACTTACAGCTGTTTACCTAATGTCAGCATACGTGCTTCAACTGCCTTCTAATTAACACAGGCACCAATTAGACTTACACATAAATGAAGGCTGTCTTCCTGTACATGTGTAATTATTCAGTTACATAACAAATGAGTCTTTGACCAGTGGTTTCAGGTGCACAGTAATTTAAAGTTGCCCTCTGTTGTGTTTCAGATGCCTGTTTGCTCAACCCCTGTCTTAACGGAGGCACCTGCACGGACAGAGGTGGTCACATTAAATGCCTCTGTTTGCCGACGTATGAAGGAAACTTCTGTCAGGCCGGTGAGCTCGCTTCTGCTCTTTAATGGACGTTACATATGATGGGAATCAGCCAGAAGTTTCCAAACAAAAATAAGCCAAGCAGTAATTTTCTTACAATGCAGCCTGAAGTAAAAATTATATAATTATTCAGTATAAAAGCCTGCAGATACATCTGAAGACTCTTGTTGGTTTGGCTGTCCTGTTCTCTTCTCTGTGATGTTTTCAGACCGGGAGCGATGTGAACCGGGCTGGGATAAATTTCACGGTTTCTGCTATCGTCACTTCAGCCAGCGTCTGAGCTGGGAGGCTGCAGAGCAGCATTGCCGCATGATGGGAGCTCACCTGGTGTCCATAATAACCCCTGAAGAACAGGCTTACATCAACAGTAGGTTTCCTTAACACATTTGGGAACGAGAAAACAATGTGGCTTTCATTTCTTTCCTCATAAATTCAATCCCACGTCTTGGTCAACAGACAACTACAAGGAATACCAGTGGACCGGTCTGAATGACAAGACCATTGAGAATGATTTCCACTGGTCTGATGGGAACCCACTGGTGAGGAGGTTTTATTATGTGTGCAAAAAACAAAACAAAACTGCAGAGTACAAAAAAACAAAAACAGGGAAATGCTCAAACTGGAGAACCAGACACCCGGTGTATTAATTAAGATCTACTTTCTATTTATCAAGATTCTTTTTCTTTTTGCAGCCACGATAACTAAAATATATTGTTTCTTTGTGTTTGCTTCGTGATTAATTTTAGTTGCCTTGTAGTCTATTTAAGTTACTTGGAAGTTTTGATGTCAGATTGCATGCTATCCAGCACCTGTGCTTAGTTACATTTTTCTGGGTTCTAGAACATCTGAGGGTGACGGGGAATGAAACACTGATGCATTTGCTAGGCAGGCACTGAGATGTGACCGTAAAATTGAACCTAAAAAGGCAATTATGTCAAGTGGTAGCACAAACAACAAGGAAAAAAAAGACACAGTGAAAACAGTGAGGAATCCAGCGACCCCTTGTGAATAAGGGAGCATCTGAAAGTAGCACATCTGTAGGTTATTATTTATGATGGCCAGGATGATCATGAATGAAAATCTATTATCATAACGAGTTTTGCTGTTTATGTTTTTCTTTTTGAAACCTCTTATGTAAGACACAAGCCAAGCAGGATGCAGGAAGGCACCAGACTATTAAATATTAACTACCTCAAAGAAGAAGAGGAGAATGAAAACATTATGTATATTATGCTTTTTCAACTATTTCTATTGTGATTATTGTTTCTTTGTATACACATAAAAATAACATACATAACACATACCTCACAGCTTTATGAGAATTGGTACAGGGGTCAGCCAGACAGCTACTTTCTCTCCGGAGAGGACTGTGTGGTGATGGTGTGGCACGATAACGGACGCTGGAGCGATGTGCCCTGCAACTATCACCTTTCATACACCTGCAAGAAAGGCACCTGTGAGTAACACTAATGGGACATCATTAAGAGCACTTCATTACTCATTAACTCCCTCGTGAGCTTGATGCTTCGAGCTGTTTTCTACTTATTCTAGCCCAGAGAAGGCACTTAAGCATCTTAACTCCTCCCACAGCCTCCTGTGGACCACCACCAAGGGTCAGAAATGCCTCCATATATGGAAAAGCTCGACAGACTTACGAGACCAACGCCGTGGTGCGCTATCGATGCGCAGAGGGCTTCCAGCAGAGGTTTAACCCCCTGATCAGGTGTCTGTCTGGAGGGTTCTGGGAGAGGCCGCAGATCCTCTGCTTGACTGGTGAGATAAGAGAAAAATCAAGAAAAGACATGAAACATACATTTAATATTCAATCGTCTTTTAATAGCTGATATGAAGTGATTAATAAATGTTAAATTAGAAGAAAAAAAGAGCAAATTCAGTCTTAACCACGGTGATTTTTTTCTAATTCAGAAGACGGGGGCCTGCCGTCAATGACCAACAACGATTTTGCTGCAGCCGAAGATGATTTTGAGGCCACTAAAGCGACGCTGCAGTACTGGGACATCAGGTTCTAAAAGTCAGCTGTGCTCTTCTTGTCTTGCTTTCTCAAACTTTGTTACTGTAACGTGACAGGGTGTAAAGAATCAGGTGCTTTTTACCAATGAACCAATCAAAACAGGATAAAAAAAACCCCACAGACGCACAAAAAGACACAAAGCAAAACTTCCCACCAGCCAATGAGAACAAGACTGAGTGCACAGGCAGGGAGATGAAACGCCCTATTTCTTGTCCTTTGTAATATTTTCTACCGTGTTTGGATAAGTATGCTTTAAATAGTTAGCAAAAAAAAAATCAAAAATTCTCCCAGTGATTCCCTGTTAAATCCCTTTGACTGAAAAGAAATAAATGTGTGAACTGTTTGTTACCAGGTCAGCTCTAAATCTATTTTTTCTCATTGTTATATCAAGAACCTTTTTAACAAAATGGTGCTAAAGTCTTTGAGACATTTGTAAAGTATCCAGTAGAAATGTTTTGCTGTTCTTTGTGTCGTCTTCCTTCTTTGTCAAAGATTCCTAAAACTCCAAAGTGAACCTTCAACAAACGCTCAATAAATACTGTACATAGATTCCTTTTCAAATGATGTCCGCATTTTCCAGAGAGAAACTTTTCGTGTCCGGCAGACGCAGTTTTGTTCGTCAGCTTTATGTTGTAATAAAGTTTTGTAGAACAGAGCAAAGAATAAAGCTTTCTCCTATTTCACCTTCAGTGCTGTGTGCAGACTTCATGTCATGTATTGTATTTTCTGCCAGTGTGTTACCTGAAACTACAGTCGTGAGAAAGGAAAAGTACACCTCTGTCAGTTCTGAGATTGTCCGCATCAGGACATTAAAAAAATCATCTGGTCCTTAGCAAGTCTTAAATTGATTTAAATACAACCTCAGATGAACATTGTCACATGACATATTACAGTGTGTCAGTATTTATTTAAAAACTAAGCCAGAATGCAGAAGTAGTCTGTGAACATTGCAACACCTTAAATCATTCTGTTGGAGATTTGTTGCTGTGCTCGAGGTCACTGTCCTGCTGCATGACCCAGTTTGAGCTTGATTTGTCAGACAGATGGCCTCACAGTTTACTTTACAACACTGTGGTACACAGAGGAGCTCATGGTCGACTCACTGAATGCAAACAAGCCCAAATCATTAGCCCTCCACCACCGTGCTTCACAGTTATTTGTCTGTCATGGACTTTGATTTAGCATGTTAAGTGAGGCCTTAGGGTTTTTTTTTCTTTTCTTGCACTATCTGACCTTGGGTTGAATTTTCTGAGACACCCACTGCAGGTAAGATATGATTATTTGTGTTATTACACACCAGTAAGAGTGTACTTGCAGTACAGGTGAACTTGGGGTGGGATTTTTCACACGCTGATTCTGTATCTTGGCTCAGTATTTGTTAAATACATAATGTACTGGTGAGTAATTTCATGTTTTTAGTTTCCTCATTACCTCGATTTTGACCTGTTGAGAAGAAGATGATTAATGTTCTAATTAATGTTCTAATATGTAAAACCTTTGAAATGAACGAGGGTGTACTTTGTTTTTCAAAATTGTATATCGGTTTTCTGCCACTGACACTCTGTTTTGTTTCTATGTGATTCCACTTTAGTAAGATATACTATAGACTGTGTTTTTAAGTAGGTTTTTTTTGTTAACATAAGGAAACTCTGAGGATAATATGGTTGCTCATTCTTTAGAAATAAATCACCTTCATATTTGCAGCTTACTGAATTGTGACCTGTTTCTCCTATACCATCACCAGAGAAAGAAAAAGAAAAAATATCAGTCAGTAAATCAAAAACTGGAGACAAGTTTTAAACAGGTGAGACTGAAATTTAATTAGTGACACTAATTTATGATACTACGCAAATTCATTCATAAGCTAGACGAGTTTTCTTTAGAAGAGATGATCATTTCAAAGAAATACAGATCAGTGAAGTTAAAAAAAATGAGGGAAAGGCTGTTCTTAATACTCTTGATAAATTAGGTCTAAGAAAAATAACCAAGAAAAAGAAGAGCTCTTATTTTGAAATTTCCTCAGGGTTTAATGCGTATTTAGTGCACCCAGGAGTCTTCTACTATAAATTTACTACATGAATGTTACTTTGTGGTATTTTAATTCAACACAGCTTTCTTCTGCCGTGTGAGCACTGCCGTGTACATAAACAGAATCAGTGTGACTCTCATTTTTATTTCACGCAGTTTAGTGACGTTTTACTTGCAGCAGAGTAAAATAATCACAAAACATTGACAGCATTAACTGATATCAGGTGAATCCGGTTAGTTTAAACTTAGGTGGCTGCTAAAATCGGGGGGGGGGGGGG